TGGCTCCTGGCTCCTGCCATCGGATCAGTGCGGTACGCCAGCCACAGCGCGCCGGCCGCGCCGGCCATTGGAGGGTGAACCAATGGCAAAAGGAAGACCTTTCTTTCTCTCTGTCTCTCTCTCTCACTGTCCACTCTGCCTGTCAAAAAAAAAAAAAAAAAAAAATCTGGATCGGAAGCAGTGTCACTAGGACTTGAACTAGGTACTTCTAGATGGGATGCAGGTGTCCCAAGTGGCTAATTAATTACAGTGTCAAATACCCACCTTTGCACTGATCTTTTTAGATTTTTATTCTTAGTTTTTAACTGTTTCAATGTGACTTACAGAGAAAATTCTAAGAACATAATGATCTTTGCTGCCTCCTTTCTTCTTTCCCTTCTCTCCTCCTCTCTCCCTCCACTCTCTTGCTTTCTCCCTTTTTAGTTTTTGACATATTTTAAGTTTACATTACATTAAAAAGGCTTAATACTTCACTGAATAAGAAGCTTAACAGGTAAAAAGCAAAAAGACCCATTTAGTGGGAATATAGACAACAGCTATAAATAATAATTGAATGGAAAAACAACCATTTCACCCATATAAAGGAAGTTTTAAAGTAGTCACAGATCATTAAAACTATAGTAATAGAACATTATTTTTCTAAAATAAAAGACTTATTTATTTATTTGAAAGGTAGAGTTTACAGAGAAAGAGAGAGGGACACAGGGTGGGGGGGCAGAGAGAGAGAGAGCTTCCATTCACTGTTTCAGTCCCCAAATGGCTACAAAGGCTGGAGCTGGACCGATTCAAAGTCAGGAGCCAGGAGCTTCAAGGTCTCCCATGTGGGTACAGGGGCCCAAGGACTTGGACCATTTTCTGCTGTTTTCCCAGGCACAACAGCAGGGATCCACCTCGGAAGTAGAACAGCCAGGTCTCCCACTGGCACCCATATGGGATGCCAGTGCCACACGGGGTGGCTTTACCTGCTAAACACAATGCCGATCCCTAGTGTAGCATTCTTAGCCATTGGTTTGACAAAGGTATTAAACAAAGTTTTACAAAACTACATTTGCAGCAATACTGATGTACACATACATAAAGACATTTCTCTCTCTCTCTCTCTTTCTTTCTTTTTTTTTTTTCCCACATGTAGGGGAGAACATGCAGTATTTGTCTTTTGGGTCCAGCTTATTTCGCTCAACATGATGTTCCCCAGTTCCATCCATTTTGCTGCAAATGGTAGAATTTCATTCTTTTTTATAGCTGAATAATATCCCATTGTGTATATATATATATCACATTTTCTTTATCCATTCATCTGATGATGGACACCTCGGTTGATTCCAAATTTTAGTTATTGTGAACAGTGCTGCCACAAACATGGTGCTACAGGTATCTCTCTGATACATCGTGTTCAAGTCTTTTGGGTATACACCCAGTAGTGGGATTGCTAGATCATATGGTAAGTCTATTGCTACTTTTTAAAGAAATCCCCATACTGTTTTCCATAGTACCTGCACTAATTTAGATTCCCACAGTGTATAAATGTTCCCCTCAGCCCACATCCTCATCAGCATTTGTTATTCCCTGTTTTTTGGATTTTACTCATTCTGACAGGAATGAGAAATCTAATTCTGGTTTTTATTTGCATTCCCCTGATGGCTAGTAATGTTGAACATTTTTCATGTATTTTTTTGGCATTTGTATTTCTTTTTTTGAGAACTGTCCATTGAAATCCTTTGCCCATTTCTCAACCAGTTTGACCATTCTATTTTGTTGTTGAGTTTTTTAAGTTGCTGATATATTTGGGGTATTAATCCTTTGTCAGATAGGAGGTTTGCAAATATTTTTCCCATTCTGTTGGATGGCTCTTCACTCTATTGATCATTTCCTTTGCTGAGCAAAAACTTCTGAGTTTGATATAGTCTCATTTGTTTGGTTTTGCTTTTGTTGCCTGTGCATTTTTTATTATTTATTTAGTCTTCCATTGACTAAGTGTACTACAATTTATTTAGCTTATTCCCTATTGATGGAAATTTGACTTATTCTTAATTTGACTAAAGACTGCAGATTTATTTAATCATTTTTTGTCTCCTTCAATAGAGACCATGAATCTTTTTATGTGTGACTTATGACCATAATTATTAACATCAATCTTTGTGTGGTAGTACATAGATTTTCTCAGATCTAAGTTTTCCATGGTTTTGTGCACATTTAATATATTTAGACTGATTATTTTTTAAATTAATATTACCTTTTCTTTTATATGACTCATAAAGAACTTGAACTTTTATGTGGAAAATCCATATAGCAGTTAATCACAGAGAAAACCTTCCTCTAACATCCAAACAATTTAACCCTGTAGAGTCACGTCTCAAACATACAAAGGAAAATAAAGAAAAATAGACAGAAAGTAGTAACAAGAGACCTCTCAGTACTGTCTTTGCAAACTCCTCTAAGTCTATAATTATGTCAAAATGTCAAAGGTTCTCAAATGGTAAAGGAGAAATACATTCACTACCGCCAGAAAAACTTCAGTAAGTTTTATCTTCCTCACTCAATCTCAGAACACCACAAGTATTAAGTGTGGCCTGGTAGTGTTCATCTCTATGTCCATTACCCTCATCAAAGCAGAGGCTTGAATATTCACACTTACTATTTTTTTCTTGTTACACGTGGTTTATGTCTTTCCTTCTGAGGATATCACTCTCTGCTGCTGTTACATGCCCACAGATGGCATCTAGCCCAGCCCTAACATGTTGCTTCTAATGTGGTGGGTATGAAGTCAGATGCTTGTTACAGTTGTCAACACTATTAATAGACTGCAAGGAAATATCTGAAGAATTTCTGGATGAATACAGTGCATAAAGTTGCATGTGTGAGGTTTATGACAATGTGTTTTTAACACAGATCTTGGTGTGTTGGGTGTTAAATAATTGCCAGCTCACTGACCAAGTACTTTGCCTGCTTTTCCTTTCTCCTCTATTTCTGCTACTAAAATTTTAGTTATTCTCTCTCTGTCTCTCTGTCTCTCTCTGTGTGTCACACACACACACACACACACACACCGCACACATGAACACACACACCAGAACCAACCACATGCCAGGCACTGAGTCAGCTCCAGGGACACAGTGTAAACAAGACAGCTGTAACCTTGACCCTGTGGAATTTCCATTGCAGCAGGGTGAAAGGCTAAGTGCCCTTGCGAAGAAAGGTGTAGAGTTGCCAAAAGGCCTGGTATGATAAACTGAATTTATCTCAAACTCTCTTCCCTACATTGCCTGTCTTTCTCCTCTCTGTTTTTATAGAATAATGTAGAATACCACAGTTTCTGAAGTGTGGAGAAAGAACTTGCTTGTAGGCCTCAGGAAATATAGGGCCTGGGTCCAACACTCCATCCTCTTGAACACAAACATATGAAACACGGAAACTTAAGCCAGAGGAGTAGAAGGAACAGCTCAGACTATCAGTTATGTAAACTGATAGTGCATTTATTTAGGTGTAGTTTCTATTATAGATGCAGTGAACAAAGAAGTCTGATTTAATCTGATTGCTTTCAATAAAAGCAATGGTGAATATTATCAGTTCACTCAAGTCATCTGTTTTCTTGAATTCACAAGTCAAATTAACTCTCTGTGGGAGAGCACAGGCAGCCTCGATGAAGGTAATTCCTTGCATTTTTCCAAGGATATCACAGAGCTGTCGTGAATCAAGCCTGCACATGAGGTTCCTAACTCAGGTCTACTCAATGGGAGGTCTTCCATCCACTGGTTCACTCCCCACATGGCTGCAAAGGCAGGAGCCGGGCCAACCTGAAGCCAGGATCCAGGAGCTTCTGCCCCATCTCCCACACAGGTGCAGGAGCCCAAGCTCTACTGCTTTCCCAGGCCATAGCAGAGAGCTGAATCAGAAGAGGAGCAGCAGGAATGGGAACTGGTACCCATATAGGATGCCTATGCCACAGGCAGAAGCTTAGCTTGCTTAGGCCACAGCACTGACCACTATATTCATTTTGAGAATTTCAGTTTTTAAAAGCTATTGGTGGCCGGCGCCGTGGCTCGATAGACTAATCCTCCACCTTGCGGCGCCGGCACAGCAGGTTCTAGTCCCGGTCGGGGTGCCGGATTCTGTCCCGGTTCGCCTCTTCCAGGCCATCTCTCTGCTATGGCCCGGGAGTGCAGTGGAGGATGGCCCAAGTACTTGGGCCCTGCACCCCATGGGAGACCAGGAGAAGCACCTGGCTCCTGCCATCGGATCAGCACGGTGCGCCGGCTGCAGCGCGCCGGCCGCGGCGGCCATTGGAGGGTGAACCAACGGCAAAAGGAAGACCTTTCTCTCTGTCTCTCTCTCTCTCTCACTGCCCACTCTGCCTGTCAAAAATAAATAAATAAATAAATAAAAAAAATCATAGTTTTCTATTTGGCTCTGCCACTAAGTATTTACCTTTGAACAAGATGGTTTTCTTCTCCAAGTCTTTGTTCATCTATACAATGGAGATGATTACAGTGCAGACTTATAATGTAGATGCTACGATGACACGATGGTGTTAGATGCTTAGGTCAATGCTGCTGCATAGCTTATGCTCAAAAATGCTTGCGGTATATTGAAGTAGCAAATTCAGGCTTCAACCCTGGATTTCTCAGAATTGCAGGTCAGCATTCAACCGTTCCAGCCCAGTACCTCACAAAACGTTTAATGGACCCAATGAGTCCTAGGTCAGATTTAGGAAAGGATAAGCACCCTACCACCTACCTGCATGTTCAAGTGTAGAGTTGACTTATGTGTAGAAGGCCCTATGAGTTGATGAGGAAGATGTGAAACAATCATTCAACTATTCATCTCATGCATTTTATTCGTTCATTCATTCATTCATTCATTCATAGTAGCACCTTCTTCCTGCAAAACACTTTTGAGGATCTGGAGTTAAGAAAGTAACTAAGACAGGCAAAGTTTCTGCCCTCAAAGGGGCACAGCCAATCAACAGGAAAACAGATACTGCAGTTTCTGATAAAGACATCATCATTTTTATTATAAGAAAACGTTGGGCCAATTCATCAGTTAGGTGCTCAGATCTTCACAAATTTCCTCACTTCACCCACATGGTAGCACTACAAGGCTGGCTCTTTTACCTCCTGGTACAGATGGCTTCATATTGCGAGGCTCTGGCTCCAAGCCCAAGGTAGTCACTGCTATGCTGTGCTGTACACAGAGAGAACTCCATGTGCTCAAGGTAAAGGCAGGCTTGTGGACCTAGAGTTGAAGAAATCTCAGTAACTCCTTTGCTTTTGTGATAAGTTTCACCCGAGAGAAAGTATTTAGATTAGCAGTTAAGATGTCCATGCCCCACATTGCAGTGCCTGAGTTTAACTCCAGACTCCAACTCTGGTCTCATTCTCCTGCTAAAGCAGACCTTGGGAGGCAGTGATGTTGGCTCAAATGATTGGGTTCCTGCCATCTACATGGAAGACCTATATTGAAATCCCAACTCCTGGCTCTGCCCCTGCTCAGCCCTGGCTGTCGCTGGCATTTGGGGAGTGAACCAGTGAATGGAGCTCACTCTTCTCTATTGGTCTATCTCTGTCTCTCTTTCAAATTAAAAGAAAAAAAAAATCTCTCCTATCGCTTCTCCTTCTCAGTCTTCAGAGAGATAGAGATAGGGATAGAGACAGAGACAGAGACAGAGAGAAACTAGTTTTCCTGAGCCAGAACAGGACAGTATACTCTAGCTGGGGGCTACCTGCACCTTCTAACTTTTCCCCCCTCCTAGGAAGAAGGCAGAGATCCCCAGGAGATGGAGCGCTGAAGGAGTAGATCATACCCCTGCATACCCCTGGACCTGAAAATATCTTGAACTTGATCGCCTACTGAAGTACTATTTTCATTTGCATACAGTAAAACAAGAGAGACTAATTATTCTTATAGTCTAACAGAACAAAAACTTGTGAGATCCATGAAGAAGTTTAGCAACTTGACTGCTAACCTGCTCCATGTATTCTAAAGAGGCCTATCAGTTCTGTGGTCTCCTTTTTCATATATTAAGGAAATGATGATTTATTTATGAAAATACCTGATGAAAGTATAGACAGTGTGGCAGAGCATTTACTATTGTGCCAAGGTCTTACAATAAATAATCTCATTCAGCCCTTGCAATAGCATGATGAGAAGACAGGAACTTGGAGAGTGTTAGCAACTTGCCAAAATTCAATTCGTGTGAGTTGCAGTTCTAGGATTCTGCTTGTGGACTCCACAGCTTACAGGCATGCCCTTGTATTTTAAGCTTTATCTCCCAGAGCTCTAGGGAAACTGGCAGCACACTGTGCTCTCCAGTTACTGCTTCATTAAAGTGGAAGTACATGAAAAGTTTGTTTGAAGGAAGGGCTGACTACAAAGCTAGAAGAAAGGAAAATACCGCGGCATGCCAGCTGCCTAGCAAAATCCATACCCTCAAATATTTTAATATTCATTGTCGTTGAGGTAAAATTCAATTACCATGTAATTTACCCTTTTAAAGAATATAATTTCACCATCTCCAGCATATTCTAAGGTTGCAAAATCACCACTATCTGATTCCAGAATGTTTTCAGAATGTTTTCACCAAAAGAAATAGTATATCCATTAGTAGTCTTTTTCCACCCTTGGTCCCTGGCAACCACCAATGTATTTTCTGTATATATTTAGATTTGCTTATTGTCAACATTTCATATAAATGCAGTCATAAAACATGTTTTTGTGTGTCTGGTTTCTTTCATTTAGCATGATATTTTCAAAGTTATTCTACATTGTAGCATGTATCAGTATTTGATTACTTTTTATGGCTGAATAATATAATATGGATATATCACATTTTGTTTATTTGTCAGTTGATGGACATTTAAATAGTGTTTTCACGTTATACTTACTATCACCATTTTTAAATTTTTATTTTCAATTTATTTGAAAGGCAGACAGAAACAGAAATACAGCATTTGCTGGTTCACTCACCAAATGTCCACAACAACCAGGGCTAGGTCAGGCTAAATCTAGGAGCTGGTAACTGAATCAGGTCGCCATAGTGAGTAGCAGGAACCTAATTACTTGAGCCATTATCTGCTGCCTCTCAGAGTACACCTATGCAAAAAGCTGGAATTGGAAGCAGAGCCCGATCTCAAACTCAGGTATTTTTTTTAAACTTTTATTTAGTAAATATAAATTTCCAAAGTACAGTTTATGGATTACAATGGCTTCCCCTCCCCATAACTTCCCTTCCACCCGCACCCCTCCCATCCCCCACTCCCTCTCCCTTTCCATTCACATCAAGATTCATTTTCAATTATCTTTATATACAGAAGATCGATTTAGTATATATTAAGTAAAGATTTCATCAGTTTGCACCCACACAGAAACACAAAGTGTAAAATACTGTTTCAGTACTAGTTATAGCATTACTTCACATTAGACAACACATTAAGGACAGAGATCCCACATGAGGAGTAAGTACACAGTGACTCCTGTTGTTGACTTAACAATTTGACACTCTTGTTTCTGGCATCAGAAATCTCCCTAGGCTCTAGTCATGAGTTGCCAAGGCTATGGAAGCCTTTTGAGTTCGCAGATTTCGATCTTATTCAGACAGGGTCATAGTCAAAGTGGAAGATCTCTCCTCCCTTCAGAGAAAGGTACCTCCTTCTTTGATGGCCCTATTCTTTCCACTGTCAAACCCAGGTAGTCTAACATGGGATGCAGGTGTCCCAAATGTGTCTTAATTGCTATGCCAAATGCTGGAACCTATTAAGAATTAATAGCGCTGCTATGGGAGCTAGCATTGTGGCCTAGTGCGTTAAGACACCATTTACAATCCTGGAACCCATATCAGAGTGCAGTTTTGAGAACCAATTGCTCTACTTTTGACCCAGTTTCCTGCTAATGCTCTAATACTCCTGGGAAGGCAGCAGATGATGCCCCAAGTACCTAGATTGATCCCTGCCACCCAGGAGTTCCTGGCTCTTGGCTTCTGTCTGCCCCCACATGGCTGTTGTGGCCATTTGGGGAGTGAAACAGGTGATGCACAATCTCTCTCTCTCCCTCTCTCTGTGTTGCTCTGCTTTTCAAATAAACAAATCAATCTTTTAAAAAATGATGCTGCTATGAATATTTCTGTGCAAGTTTTTGTTTGAAGATGTGTTTAAATTTCCTGGGTACATTCCCACCAGCCATATGTGAGGGTTTTCAAATCTCTCCATATTCTTGGCAACACTTACTATTATCTGCCTTTTTTATTATAGCTACTCTCATGCAAGTGAAGGGGTATCTCATTGGGGTTTTGCTTTACTAGTGATGTTGAATGTCTTTTCACGTGCTTATTGGCCACTTGTTTATCTTCTCTGGAGAAATGTCTATTCAAATCCGTTCCTTATTTTTTATAAAATGTGTTCTTCTCTCTTTTGAGTTGTAAGAATTCTTTCTATATGGTAGATGTTAGATCCTTACCAGATATGATTCTCAAATATTTTCTTAATAATAGTCTTTGATGCATAAAAATATTAACATGGATGAAATGCAGTTTTATATTTTTTCTTGGCTGTTATTTTGGTGTCATATCTAAGAAACATTTCCAGGTCTAAGGGTAGGTAGATTTATACCTGTTTTCTCTTATGAGTTTTATAGTTTTGGTTCTTCCATTTAAGTCTTTGATTCATTTTATGTCAGTACCTGTATCTTGTATGAAGTAGTGGTCAACTTCAATTATTTTATGTATGGATATCTAGTTGTTCCAGAACCATTTGTGAAAAAGAATATTCTTTTACCATTGAAGTCTGTTAACACTGTTGTAAAAAACCAGTTGATCATAAGTGTATGAGTTTATTTCAGGATTCTCAATTCTATTAAATTGACCTAAAAGTCTATCTTTATGCTGATATCAGAAAGTCTTCATTACAGTAGACTTATAGTAAATTCTGATACTAGGAAGCATAAGTCTTCTTACTGTATTATTTTTCAAGGTTGTTTTGAATGTTCTGGATTCCTTACATTTCCATAAAATATTTTAGAATCAGCATGCCAATTTCTGCAAAATTTTAAATTGAGAATTTCCTGAACACTTCATTCAATATCTAGATAAGTTTGGAGAAAGAGTATAATATTTTTGGAGGGCAGGCATCTGGCCAAGCAGTTTATTTAATTTTTTTAAAGATTTGTTTGTTTGTTCATTTATTTATGTGAGAGGCAGAGTTACTGACAGAGAGAGGGAAACACAGAGAAAAGTCTTCCATCTGCTGGTTCACTCCCCAAATGTCTGCAACAGCCAGCACTAGGATAATCTAAAGCCAGGAACCAGGAGCGTCTTCCAGGTCTCCCATGTGAGTGCTAGGGCCCAAGCACTTGAGCTATCATCCACTGCTTCCCCAGACCATTAGCAGGGAGCTGGATCATAAGTGGAGCAGCCAGGATTCGAATCAGTGCCCATATGGGATGCTGGTACCACAGGCAGAGGCTTAATCTACTGTGCCATAGCACTAGCCCAAAAGAGTATAATATTTTAACAATATCAAGTTTTGCAATCCATGAAGATGGGATGTCTTCTATTTATTTATGTTTTCTGTAATTATCTCCACTGATGTTTTATAGTTTTCAATATACAAGTCTTGGGGCTGGCACCGTGGCTCACTTGGTTAATCCTCCGCCTACAGCGCCAGCATCCCATATTGGTGCCGGATTCTAGTCCTGTTGCTCCTCTTTCAGTCCAGCTCTCTGCTGTGACCCAGGAAGGCAGTGGAAGATGGCCCAAGTCCTTGGGCCCTGCACCCACATGGGAGTCCGGGAGGAAGCACCTGGCTCCTGGCTTCAGATCGGCACAGCACCAGCCATAGCGGCCATTTTGGGGGGGTGAACCAATGGAAGGAAGACCTTTCTCTCTGTCTCTCTGTCTCTCACTGTCTAACTCTGCCTGTCAAAAAAAAAATTCTACTTCAATCTTTTTCTTGTTCTAGGTCTATTCAGATTTTTAAATTTCTTCTCAAGTCACTTTTGATAGTTTGCACCCTCCTATAATGAATCCAGTTTCACTTAAATTATCTGATTTGTTGACATACATTTGCTCTTAGCATTACCTTATAATTGTCTTCATTTCTTTAAACTCAGTAGTAATATTACTTCGTTCATCTTTAATTTTAATAATTCGAGTTCATTTCCTCTCCTTCTTTCTCTCACTTAGCTAAATATTTGTTGATTTTGTTGATCTTTTCAAGGAAGTAATTTTTTGTTTGTTGATCATT